CGTCGGACGGACGGACGGACGGACGGACGGTCGGATGGGTCGTTGAGGTCTGAAAGCAGCCTTCAATGCTGCGTGTCGTTGCTGCGAAAATCGCAAATTAACGGTCTCGCATGGTAGAAGTTGTTCTGCTACACGACAAGGCACGCTCACATGCTACGAAGGAAAGGCATAGGACATTACACGAAGTTGACATCGGAGTTCCCCTTGGCCTACCATATTCTCCGATTTTGCTTCAATCGGCTACCACTTGTACTGCTTGTTTGCTCACTTTTTGGAGAACAAGAGCCACGATGATTGCGTGCACCTAAAAATGGACTTTCAGTCATTGCTCGTGTCGAAGAAAGTAGAGTTCCGGTGGAAAGGGGCTCATTCGCATCTCAATCGATGTAGGACAGTAGAAGAGAGTTTTGGTGAATACTGCACTGACTGCTTTCATAGTCCGCCGACGGACTATAAAAGCAGTCACTTGATAAAGTAGATTATGAAGCAAGTTGAGTAATTTTGATATCGGCATAAGAACACGGCACTAATTACTCAACATGAAAGAAAATACTATGGGGCTCCAAAATGTCTTCATATACTGTAGAGCGGATATTTTAATAACAGGCAGACAAACATTGAACAATCAAAGAGCAAGTCTTTTATCAGAAAAAGTGGCGTGGTCACTTACTCACCCGTCACCCGAAGCTACTCGGGAGATTCCGTGAAATCCTATCAGTTTTGTTGAAGAACTCTCACCACTGCAGAAAGCAAAGAGAAGACCCACTCCCCACCCCGGGCCATAAACAGGAGGTGTAATTTGAATGCACGGGAGCCATCGTATTTGATCAGTTGTATACGGGATTACTCATCATCCTTCAATACTTTTCTTTTTACACACAGTCAAAAAAGATTCCAACCGATCAGCTCGCGAACATATACGGCCCCACGTATCGATTCCTTTAGTTTTTGCTTATGGCATAAGAAAGTAATCTTTATTTGTTGTTGTCTTCAACTGATGCTTGGTGATGGGCCATAGGAGTTAGTGAAACATTTTTGTGCCAGAACTACAAGATTTTCTGACGGAAAATGTGGATGCCACGATACCTTTGTCTCTCGTTCTAAGAAAAACGAGGTTGTATGCTCCACTCACTTCTACGACGGCTGTATTGAATTGGCACGGCTTCTTACCATTTCGATACAGCCGTAGACCCCGTGACCATCGGATAGACCCTCGTTCAACCACACAAACACCCCTAATGAGAGAAACAAACCTAGATAGGCAACTATAGGACAAGAAACAACCCTCGATTGTCTGATAGTTGCCAATCCTTAGCCTACAAAGGCAGAAGTAACGATTTCGCCATATTAGTTAGTGCTTATGCCCTTTTTCATCGGAATGTTTGCTGAAATATTCGTCATATCTGTTTGTTGACGTATAACCAACCATTGATCAATTGCTCAATAACGTGAGCTCTATAAATGTCGGATGTG